CCCCACGCCTTGCCCAGCAGGGCCAGCTGGAGGCCCCCAGCAAGAGCACCAGAGACCGCATTCTCCTGGGAGCACCAGAGACCAGCTCCTGGGACTCTGGCCACTGGGGTCTCGCACGCCCCAGAGAAAACACCAGCGCCTTCCCAGGCTGGCCGGGCAGTGAGACTCACTAAGTGAAGCTGGCAATTCAAACATAACCAGATATGAAAAACCCCGTGTATCAAGAAAGGAAGGAAAGGAAAAGGAAAAGGAGGAAAGGAAATGAAGAAAGGAAGAAAAGGAAGAAAGAAACCTGACAGAAACCTCCCCAGACGATGGCAGCGTCCTCCTTGATTACCGGACAGGGCACTACACCACGAAAGCAGTGCAACCCGCCAAAAGTTAGCAAGGCGAATTAAAACCAGAAGGAAACTTCAGAAACACGGAATGATCCAAACAAAACACAGAACGTGAGAGCTTGGAAGTACAAATTAAGCAAGCCTTTTACAAAAGGGAATAAAAAAGGGGAAAATAGGTCAAATTTCAGAGCAATAATAGAAAGCACGGAGAGCCCTACCAGAGAGAGAAACAACACCCCAGGGCTGAGGGAATCTGACAGTTCAGACAGAAACAAACAAAAACCCATCAATGAAAACAATCGTGAAACTCTACACTGCCAAGAAAAACCTCCAGTTTCTATCAAAGGAGAAAAACAGAAACAAAAGGTCAGACACCAAAGGAGAATCAAACCAGAGATAAGCAACACTTTCTCAGTCTCAAGATGAATTTTCAACCTAGACTTCTACACTCCAATTTCCAACCGCGAGGGTAAGGAAATAACCAAGGACTCAAAATCAAGTCCTTTGAAAGCTATCTGGAGATGCATCCCGACACAACGAAGGAAAACAAACAGATGATCCGACTGAAAACAGAAGCCAACTCAGGAGAACACGCACAGAAAGTTCTAGACAGCTGCTCCGCTGCAGGGGACAGAAGCAGGCACGTGCCAGCCTCTGAGGGGATGCTTCTGTGGTGGGGGTGGAGGTGGGTGAGGGACGAGGAAACAATTTGTTTAAACCCAGGGAAAAATACAATCAATACGTGTTGAGATGTTGGGAGCTTCGAGGAAAAAA